GGGTTACTTTTTGCCTAAAGTGAACCTCTTTTATCAGAATTGAGGAAATGTAGTAAAATGTTCAATTCTTTGCTATAGGGATGCACAATTTTATCGGTATACTGGTATAACATGATTTTTCATTGCGTGATACGTATTGTGATAAGGAGACTAAAATACCGGTATTTGTTACATAACAATAAATTCCAGAAATTATTCATTTATTTGTTCAAACTATTGAATGACAATTACAGGAAGTGTAAAAAATGTTGAAAACTGTTAAACAACGGCATCCAAACATGCTTTATATTAAATAAATAAAAACTTAAAAAGTAAAGTTATGTTTTATAGCATATTTTTAAGAAATATTATGGAAATTCATTTGAAATTGTAGTAAAAATTGTGTGTAAAAATACAGTACAATTTGTTTTTTATCATACCGGTTTTATATCATACTTCTTTTTTTATCATAGATATCTGAAACACAAAACCATTTCTTAATAATTCATTATAAATTTTGTCTGTTATTATCATAGGTAAAAGTATACACTTCACTTACTATAATAGAAAATGTCCATCCGTAATATTTTTTTCACACCTTTTCACTCTTGGGACAATCAACAAAACAAAAGATAACACCTATCTACACCTGTGTTTCATGCACTGTCGCTTATCTATACACAATGGCTTGATTTTCACTTTGAAATTTGCCGATAGTGAAAGACTGGGGAGATTAGTAACACTTCAGTGCACCTACCTGAGCGATTGACAGGGAGTCTGTTTATTTCATGAAGTACATGACAGGATAACACGAACTCTTTTTTTCATAACTTATTTTCTTCTTATGTTAATCCTGAATTGTACGTTCGTAATAAATACGTTTTACCAAATGTGTTGAAAATAAATTTAGTGTCAATATTAACCCAAGCTTTCTTACGCTTGGTGTCTGGATCAATGTTCATAGTTAATTACATTTACAAAACTACCCGATTAATTAAGAAATAATTAAGTGAAATTAACTCTTTCACCAGTCTGTCCAAGCGGCTTTGAATGCATATGCTCATCAGTGTATCAATTAATTTTAATTATACGGCGACATTAAGTGTAAATAGGTAATTTTTTTTTATGTCTACTTTCGATGAATAAAAGAAACAATTTGAATGCATGCTTTGTTGCTGTGTTAATTTATTTAATATGTGATTAAAAAAAAAACCAAAATGAAACATTGGTAATTTGAATTGACCATAAATTAAAAATGAAAGTAGATCAAAATAAACAAGATGGATGCCAAGGGATCTAGAAGATTGAGTTTGAAGCGTATTAAGCTTTATTTAAGTGAATTTATTTATAATAAAAAGTTGAAACAGTAAGTAAATATTATGAAATGATATGTCAGTTAACTTGTATTTCAAATAAACCTAAAAAATTGAAATTATATGTAACGTAAGATGTATAATACATCCAATAATTTACACAAACGTCGTATCATCAGCCGTCCGACATAAATTTCAGCCGACTAGGGTTATTATAAAAGTCGCTTATTATAAAGTTTTGGCCTGACAAATAAACTATGATAATAAATGAATTGTACTGTATCACAATTTATCAAGATATTTTTGGGAAAAAAAATTCTGATATATCACGATATAAAATTTTTGCCAATACCCATCTCTACTTTGGTATTTGAACAATGCTTAATATGCTTCTATTTAAACTTCATAATTTGGAGCTCCAAAGTCCTTCAATGAAAAATTGAACCTTTTAGTGATGTTCCTATCCCTGCAACAAGAGCCAAGATTTGATTAAAGTTAATTTTGCATATAATTTGAAAATGCTTGCATATAAATTTGAAAATTTGTAACCATGCAGTTGTGAAGAACGTGACCTAAGGGCCTTAGTGGTCACCTGAGTACAAAACAACACTGTAAAGGATCCATAGAAGTATAACTAAAATGAAATCAACTGATAGATGAAGCCATGTTGCCAAAAAGCATGAGAAAGAGGATGATGAGGGATAAAAAAAATAAGTCTAGTACTCAGTGACAAATCTTACAGTAGAACTATCTGCTTGTCTGTACTTGCCCCCATTTGTCACTATCATTATGCAAACTAAACAACAAAATTAGTGCTTGAGAACTAATATTTAACCCTCTCACATTGGCTCTTCTCTTTGTCTTTGAAGAACATTTTATACATACAAAGATAAGGTATAATTGTCTTATTTTTATTAATCTATTATAGGCATTGATTTTAAGAACAAAAATTATATATGGATTATGGATCTATCATAAACAAGAGGCCCAAGGGCCTTGTATCGCTCTTCTGATAAACTGTACAACCTATCACTTCTATTTGAATCCTCTAAGTATCCTGTATACATGTATTTAGATATAGCCTTGAAATTCCAAAGGTAGGTCATCATGACCTACATTTTAGATGAAACACTCTGAGAACCCAAGATCATTCTAAGCCAATTAGTACCTGAGAGTAGGTCATGGTGACATACTTATCACTTGTCATTCTCTGAGGACTCATGATGCATCAACTAAGTTTTGATGATTCTAAGCCAATTAATACCTAAAATATTTTTAAAATTATAACCATAAAATTTCAAAAGTAGGTCACAGTGACCTCATTTCAAATGACATACTTTGAGGACCCAAGATGCATCAACTGACAAAGTTTGATGATTCAAACCAATAAGTACCTGATATATTTAAGGCCAAAAAATTTCAAAAGTAGGTCACAGTGACCTACATTTTAATCGACTTACTCCGAGGACCCAAGATGCATCAACTGACAAAGTTTGATGACTCTAAGCTAATCAGTGCCTGAAATATTTCATTTTAGCCATATAAATTGAAAAGTATGTCACCGTGACCTACTTTTCAGTAGACGTACTCCGACGACCCAAGATTTATCAACTGACAAAGTTTGATGATTCTATGCCAAATAGTACCAAAAAATATTAAATACAGCCATAAAATTTCACAACTAAGTCACGGTGACCTACTTTTCAGTAGAGGTACTCCAAGGACCCAAGATGCATCAACTGACAAAGTTTGATGATTCTAAGCCAATAAGTACCTGAAAAAATATTGAATACAGCCATAAAATTTCAAAAGTAGGTCAAGGTGATCTAATTTTCAGTTGTTGCACTCTGAGGACCCAAGATGCATCAACTGACAAAGTTTGATGATTCTAAGCTAATTAGTACCTGAAATATTTCATTATAGCCATATAAATTGAAAGTAGGTCACAGTGACCTACTTTTCAGTAGACGTACTCCGAGGACCCAAGATACATCAACTGACAAAGTTTGATGATTCTAAGCCAATTAGTACCTGAAAGCCATAAATTTTCAAAAGTAGGTCATGGTGACCTACTTTTCAGTCGACTTACTCTGAAGACCCAAGATGCATCAACTGACAAAGTTTGATGATTCTAAGCCAAGTAGTACCCAAAATATTTAATTATAGTCATATAAATTGAAAAGTAGGTCACAGTAACCTACTTTTCAGTCAATTTACTCCGAGGACCCAAAATACTTAACTGAAAAATTTGGATGATTCTAAGCCAAATAGTACCAGAAATATTTAAATATAGCCATAAAATTTCTAAAGTAGGTCACAGTGACCTACTTTTCAGTTGACATTTTTCAAGGACCCAAGATGCATCAACTTACAAAGTTTTATAATCATAGGCCTTAAAATGACCAAATTAGGCCTTGAAAACGCTTTGAAATCGAATGCCTGCAAAGTTCAAAAAGTAGATCACTGTGACCTACTTTTTAATAAATATGTTTTATGGCCCCAAGATGCATCATCTTACAAGATTTAATGATTCTAAACCTCTCAGTATTCGAATTAATGACTTTGTTTTGAAAAAGATTGGCCATAAAATTCAAAAAGTAGGTCAAGGTGACCTACATTTTAGTTGACATACTCCAAGGACCCAAGATGCATCAACTGATAAAGTTTAATGATCATAGGCCTTAAATTGTTCAAAATATGCCTCTAAATCATTTTGAAAAAGAATGGCCGCAAAATTTAAAAAGTAGGTCACTGTGACCTACTTTTGAGTCAACATGATATGAGGTCCTTAGATGCATCAACTGACAAGATTTGATGATCCTAGTCCTTATAGTAAGCAAAATATCAACATTTTAATAAAATGTAATTTTTGGTCAACTTTGAAGTGACCTTGAGACCAGGCCCTTTGCCCAAGGGTGAAGCCTTGAACAATTTTTAATCTTCAACATATCCTCATCCTTTTTTGTAAGTTTGGTGATAATCTGCCCAGAGGTTCTTGAGAAGATTTTTTAGCAACCAGTACTTTTGTTTCTATTTTCCTAATTATCTCCTGTCACAACGGGACCCCTTTGGCCCAGGATACCCTGTGACAAATTTTACAATAATTGGCCAAGGGGTTCTTTTGAGTTATGGCCCATATTCTAAAAAGTTTACGCACACGCACACCACACAAATGGCCATAGCATTAGCTCTTTGAGCCTTTGGCTCAGAAGAGCTAAAAATGAAAATTCTACAGTGATTTTAAAGACACAACTCTAAAAACGTTCTTATTATTTTATACCGCACCAAGTTCTAATGCTATACAAATATCACATAGCATGATAAGGGTTAAAGGATTTTTCCAATACATTTCCATACAAGCCTTTAATTAGGACACCTTCATGGTCTCATCTCTCCCAAGGAGCAATTGATTGAACCACCTTGATTTACCTGCATAAAATTGCTTGCATATCAATTTCGCTATCTGTGTAGTTCTTGGGGTGAAGAATTTTAAAGATAATCTATATATATTACTTCCTACAACTTTAGACATCATCCTGGCTCCAACCTTGCATGATTTGAAATAAATTGAACCTGAACTTCACCCACTTTAAGAAGTTGCTATTATACCCAGCACTCCTTTCCATAAATGAAAGACAAAGTAAATTAAATAAATAATACATACATAATTAATAAATATCTATATCAGAATGAAAAAAAAAACCTTACTCATAGGTGCCATTTTCGGGAACAGTCCACATTTGTATTCCACGCAGAGGTCCACTGTCAACTATCTTGACATCTGTTTTGCTGGATGTATAAACAGAGTCACACTTGGACTGCATAGGGCCAGCTGATCCAAAGGCATTGCAATTGTTAAACTTATATTCTGGAAAGATAATAATCATAATGCACAAGATAAATACTTCAGACTGATCATGAATATCAAAAGATCTCTATATTGTTGCTGGAACAAGATACTAGGATGCATGGATAATTTAAATATATTAAGCATAACAACTGTCTTGCTGTTTTCTAGCTGATATGTAACCCCACCCTCTCCCCTCCACATCCATCAACATATTTTTTTTCTCCATTTTTTTTTTTTGTAGTTTTCTTTCTATTTACCTCTCTCAAAAATCTATCTGTCTGCTCACAATTTGCTCAATTTTAGCAGCTTTCACAAGGTTCACAGTAAGCTTCACCCAGCATGTGAAAGTTACTGTATATACTTTGAATGAATATATCTATAAAACTTTGATCAAATCATGCGACCACTCCATGATAACCAGAAGTCTCTGATGAGACTGTAGCTCTACTGGTCTGTTTGTATAACAAAAGAAAAGTAGCACTTGGATTTGAAACATTGCAACATGCAACAATAAATAGAATTATGTATCTTAATGTAGTCTACTTTTGTGACAAGTTATTGAAATCAAATGAAAACTAGGAGTAGTAGCGTTTTGAAAGTATTTCACAGAAATTTCTATTTTTAGTACCGGTAACCATGACAACACCATTCACCCAAATAAAAAAAAAACAGAAATACATATTATGTATTTTAGTGTATTCTAACTGTGTGCCAAATTAGATTGAAATCAGACCAAAATTGTAGGAGGAGTAACGTTTTAAAGGAATTTCACAGAAATTTCTATTTTAAGTAACCATGGCAACACTGTTCATCGAATTCAAAAAAATGCACTAAATTATGTATCTTAGTGTAGTCTACTTGTGTGCCAAGTTATATTGAAATCAGACCAAAACTGTAGGAGGAGTAGCGTTTTAAAGAAATTTCACAGAAATTTCTATTTTTAGTAACCATGGGAACACCGTCCATCGAAATCAAAAAACCGATGCACTAAATTATGTATCTTAGTGTAGTCTACTTGTGTGCCAAGTTATATTGAAATCGGACCAAAACTGTAGGAGGAGTAGCGTTTTAAAGGAATTTCACAGAAATTTCTATTTTTAGTAACCATGGCAACACCGTCCGTCGAAATCAAAAACCGATGCACTAAATTATGTATCTTAGTTTAGTCTACTTGTGTGCCAAGTTATATTGAAATCGGACCAAAACTGTAGGAGGAGTAGCGTTTTAAAGAAATTTCACAGAAATTTCTATTTTTAGTAACCATGGCAACACCGTCCATCGAAATCAAAAACCGATGCACTAAATTATGTATCTTAGTGTAGTCTACTTGTGTGCCAAGTTATATTGAAATCGGACCAAAACTGTAGGAGGAGTAGCGTTTTAAAGAAATTTCACAGAAATTTCTATTTTTAGTAACCATGGCAACACCGTCCATCGAAATCAAAAACCGATGCACTAAATTATGTATCTTAGTGTAGTCTACTTGTGTGCCAAGTTATATTGAATTCGGACCAAAACTGTAGGAGGAGTAGCGTTTTAAAGAAATTTCACAGAAATTTCTATTTTTAGTAACCATGGCAACACCGTCCATCGAAATCAAAAACCGATGCACTAAATTATGTATCTTAGTTTAGTCTACTTGTGTGCCAAGTTATATTGAAATCAGACCAAAACTGTAGGAGGAGTAGCGTTTTAAAGGAATTTCACAGAAATTTCTATTTTTAGTAACCATGGCAACACCGTCCATCGAAATCAAAAACCGATGCACTAAATTATGTATCTTAGTGTAGTCTACTTGTGTGCCAAGTTATATTGAAATCGGACCAAAACTGTAGGAGGAGTAGCGTTTTAAAGAAATTTCACAGAAATTTCTATTTTTAGTAACCATGGCAACACCGTCCATCGAAATCAAAAACCGATGCACTAAATTATGTATCTTAGTGTAGTCTACTTGTGTGCCAAGTTATATTGAATTCGGACCAAAACTGTAGGAGGAGTAGCGTTTTAAAGAAATTTCACAGAAATTTCTATTTTTAGTAACCATGGCAACACCGTCCATCGAAATCAAAAACCGATGCACTAAATTATGTATCTTAGTTTAGTCTACTTGTGTACCAAGTTATATTGAAATCAGACCAAAACTGTAGGAGGAGTAGCGTTTTAAAGGAATTTCACAGAAATTTCTATTTTTAGTAACCATGGCAACACCGTCCATCGAAATCAAAAACCGATGCACTAAATTATGTATCTTAGTGTAGTCTACTTGTGTGCCAAGTTATATTGAAATCGGACCAAAACTGTAGAAGGAGTAGTGTTTTAAAGGAATTTCACAGAAATTTCTATTTTTAGTAACCATGGCAACACCGTCCATCGAAATCAAAAACCGATGCACTAAATTATGTATCTTAGTGTAGTCTACTTGTGTGCCAAGTTATATTGAAATCGGACCAAAACTGTAGGAGGAGTAGCGTTTTGAAAAATTGTTTACAGACAGACGGACAGACAGACAGACAGACAGACGGACGGACGACGGACACCTTACTATCGCATAAGCTCTTCTGGTCTCTGACCAGTAGAGCTAAAAAGATCTGTAGACCTTTTCACAAGTAGAACTATGTCCAAAGGATGTGAATGCCCCGCTGAGGGTATATTAGTAATGCAACATGAAAATCTGTATTAGTGTATGAAGTTTGATGAGAATATCTTGAATAGTTTCATAAAGGGTTTTTATCATGTATCTACATTTTTAAAAAATGAAACACTATTTTATTCTTGAAACGTATAATTATCGTTTAAATACGAAATAACTTTGAAAACTGTCATAATTAGGCAATAAAATGCCCGTAATATAGAGTTCTCGAAGTAAAAATCTCCATTAATTAGATAGGGGTCATGTGGTACTGAAATGTCATAGTTGTCAATGGTCAATTAAAACTCGTAAAGCTTATCGTAAGAAAAATATATCAAATAGACTTTGAGGTCAAATAATGTACACTACACAATAAGGTCGGTAGAAATTTTGACATCCACGATATTCTTTTAGTTATGGACGGTCTATCTTTTATGTATGAACATCTAGCAGAGAAAAATAACCAAGAAAATATGCAGACAATAGGAGAGGACACCGAAGATGAAGCCGTTGACAACTCGGGACTTCTGACTAAATAGAACGAATAACTAAAGTTGTACTTTGTTAATATTTATAAATATGAGAATTTTAAATTCAACTTCTTCATTATTTTAATAAACTATATATAAATAAATCCTGTATATCTTCTATCTGTTCCAGTTCATGAATATCATGACGGGGTATAAAAAAATATAAAGAATAATTTTCATTGCAAGAGAAATCTTATGATGTTATTCCTTTTCACAAAAATTCTTACAAGATTCTTATGTGTAAAATTTGTCAAAATTTTATGAGAGCTCTAACCTTCTCATAAGTATCTTACAGATGAATTTAATTTAAAAATATAACAGATAACCTAAATAAATGTTTTATAGATTTTTTTAATGCATATTCAGGGATCAACACTAAAACCATAGAAGCACGCAGGACTAGCAATGTCTAATTTCCACTAGCCCTGTTCATGAATTAGTTGTCCAGCAGCCAAAGGCTGCTGGCTGAGTCTCGAAGCGATGAGGGGGGTAGGTGCGGGAGGAGGTTTCCCCTCCTGCTAGTGGGGTACGGGGGGCCTCCCCCAGAAAATTTTGAAAATAGAGATGCCAAATCCTGCATTCTGGCTGTATTTGTGTAACTTCATGATTGCACCTTGTTTTTCTATTTGAAAAATTCCATATGTATAATCAATTAGAATATTCCAAATCACCTTATACATTTTGACTGCAAATAATTAGATTAACAAGTTTATAACTGGTTATTTGGTATTAAAGGAAAGGTATTTCTTTTACACAGCAAGTCCATCTTCGATTCAGTGACCTTAAAGCTGAACACGACTCGTAAATAGGCATACGCCATTTTCGATATTACTATCTTAGATATCAGCACCAGGGTATACTCTTCGCATTCGTTACACCTGACTGCTTTATTGTCACGGGTATCGGCATGGAATGGCGACCCGTGTTCGTGCTGGTTATCTTGCATTCCCTTTGTTTACATTTTATTGCAGTTACGTATATTTGTGTTTGTTTGTATACTGCACTGACCTGTGCAACTGTTGTAAGTGTCTTTGGTATCTTAATCTCCTGCATTAGAAGAAGCACACAGTTATTTTTGTCGCTACCAAGTGCTGTATAGCATATGTCTGTCTACACCGGTGACGATTGATTACACTGAACAGTGACCAAGTGAGCGGCTCTATATATAGGGGCCCTCAGATACAGCTCGAGTCCAATCAAATATGGCGGACACATTCTTTTTACGAAGCGTGTTCAGCTTTAAGGGTAGTTATATTTACTCATCTTTTTAGTGTATTGTGAGTCACTTCTGGGTATTTTGATTCACCACAAAAAAAGGTAGAAAACGACAAGAAAACACCTATATATATAATTGATTAATTATTTATTTGGTATTGTTTACCAAATGTCTCCCAAAATAAAAAAAAATCATTTACTTTTTTATTTTTCTTGTTGATTTTTAAGTTAATTACTTAGTGTGCAGCATGTGAAATATTTGTTTGACTGCGGTCATGTACACGTGATTCAAAATAACCCAAATTGTAAGGGGGCTACAAATGCTGCAATTAATGCTACGACATCTATGAGGAAAACCATGCATGCAATGTTTTCAAAAAAGGGGGTTTCAATAAGGATAACAAGTTAATGAAATAAATTGTTAACTTTTTAATTAAAGCATGCATGTTTACCTCTTCATTTTTTTGCATCTGATAAGTATATGCTTTAAAAAAAAAACCTGGTTGTTTGTCACACATGTGGAAGTGTTGTGCGAGGTACAGTGATAAGGTAAATTATGGAGAATCACAAAACGCAGGGTGATTTGGAATACTCTACATGACTGTAACAAAATCGAAACTTGTAATTTTTAAAATTATAAATCT